AGAGGAGGTGTATCTTACTGCAGCGGGAAACATATATACTACTACTGCTGCAGCAACTGCAGCTGGAGCTCTGAGGCAGCAGCTGTCTCCTCTTCTCTACCTGCTGCTCTTCCTCTTTTTGCTTCTCAAGGAGACAAACCAACTTTTTGTGAATATATATTTAATGATATATTAGCGGCGATGCAGCAGAACGCAGCAGAAAGAGAAAGAAGGAGACAGCTGCAGCTCACCATAAAAAACAGAGCTGTTGCTGCTCTTATTGCTGCAGCAGCAAACGCTCAACCAAGGCCAAGGGGTCTGCTGCACCCAGCAGCAGCAGCAGCAGCAGCAGCAGCAGGAGCAGCAGGAGGAACAGCAGCAGCAGCAGCAGCAGCAGCAGCAGGTGTACACTGGGGGGTTAAAGATGCTGATGCAGCAGCAGCAGAAAGAGAAAAAAATATAAAAAATATAAATATATGGGCTTATAAAAGACCAGCAGCATGGGCGTTTGCTGCTCCTCAGGTGCCTCTTGCTGCTGTTGCTGCTGGAGAGCATCTCTGCTGCAGCGTGAAAGAAACTCTTGCTGCTGCAGCAGCAGCAGCAGCAGCAAGAAGAAAACAAGCAGCAGCAGCAGCAGCAGCAGNAGGAGGAGGAGGAGGAGGAGACAGTGCATCTGTCTCTTCTTTGTCTACAGTATCTAGATATGAATGTATATATCCTAGTTTCACTAACCCTATGCATGCAGAGCAGCTGCTGCTAGATAGAGGTCACCCAGACGTTGCTGCAGTGTATACTGGTGATCGTATTGTTGCTGCAGCAAGAAAAATAGATATAAAAGAACGTGTGGGGTTGCTGCAGCTGCTGCAGTGCCCTGAAGCTTTTGCTGCTGCTGCTGCTGGCTCTTTATTTCTACCTCTACGACGACGGCTGCTGCTGCAGCACCGCAGCAAACGCTGCAGCAGCTGCTGCAGGTTCCTTATAAAAAAAAATATTAATGTTGATGGTTTGTCTCCTTTTCGGATAAATAAATCAGCTAATATATTAATACCATCAATACAGTGTTGTATATTAAACAATAAAAATAATAAAAATAAAAAAAATAAAAAAAAAAATAAAAAAAATAAATATAACTGTCTCCTTCAGGGACAGACATACTGTCTCCTTCTCCTCATCACAAGCTCAGCAGACACCCCAATTCATCTCCGCCTTAAATCAGCAA